ATGTACAAGTAAGGACATTAACCCAAGGCAAGTAATGACGTTGTTGATCGCTCGTGAAGGAAGAGACTCTTAGCATATCACTATAATATAGGGCTATATACTTAGATTGGTAGTCTAATTTGGGAGATAAATTAAGTAAATGACTATAGTGAAAAATATGTTTTCCTCTTATTTTTCAATTTGCAATAGAGTCTCAACTCTCAATAATTAAACTTAAGTTAGTACTTAGTATAGTCGGTAGAGTATTCATTAAAATTCTCGTGTCCCTAGGAGTTGATTTTTATTCTGGTGATTTGATCACTTCTGATACTATTACTTTTGTATTTGAGTCTAAAAATATTTGTCCTCAGTGAAAAAAAAAAAAGTTACGCATGATAAAATAATCTATAAAACATAATAACGTCCATCTGAAGATGTCATAAAAAACCATAAAATATACTGACAGGAAGATGTAGTAGCTATGTTAAACAAAGAGTCAAAGAGACCATGAGTTCATAACTAACATCGTGTAACTTATATATATAGAGAACAGAGCATAAAGTGACTGTGAGTGGAAAAAAAAAAAAACCCACAAAGCTTGGAAAGAGCCCACTAATAGTTTAAAGAATGGGTGAAGCGAAGAACAAGGCGAGGGAGACGGTGGAGGAGGAGCCACTCAGCCCATGTTCACGGCTGTTTAATTCGCCGGATTTTAACTGTGCGATAATCGTGACAATGGGATCTAGAGTCAAAGGAGACACACCTGCCATCATCCACGGCCTTGAACACACCCTCGTAAACCACCCTCGCTTTTCTAGCATTTTAGTAAGTCCAACGATACATTTTTATTTAAGAAATATATTTTCATCATTGTTATAAAAAAAATATATAGAAGAAATGATATAAAATTATTGGATTCATGTTTCGCCACTTGGTACTGAATATATCAATAGTTAACACATTTTCTTTTAAAGTGTTTGTTTCATTGGAGTTATTAAGCCAAATAATCCTCTTGATTATTTTTAGTTTTTGGTTTTTATTAATCATTAACCAAAAAGATGATATAAAATCATGCGTATGTTTTTATTTATGTTAAAAATGATTATTGTTTCTTGCCATGATGAATTCAGGAGATGAACAATGGTAAGAAAGGGAAACCGCGTTGGGTTCGGACAAAAGTTAAAGTAGAAGAGCATGTGATTGTTCCTGACATAGATCCCGACATTGAAAATCCTGATCAGTATCTTGAAGACTATATCTCTAAGTTAACGACCATTCCTATGGATTTGTCTAAGCCATTATGGGAAATGCACTTACTAGGCCTCAAAACATTGAACGCTGAATCCTTTGCCATTCTCAAGATCCATCATTCTTTGGGTGATGGAATGTCTCTCATGTCTCTTCTCCTAGCTTGCACCCGCAAAACATCAGACCCCCAGGCTTTGCCTACCGTTGCGGTTCAGAAAAAACGCTTTGGACCGAGCTGCAACAGCGGGTTTTTCAACAAGATTTGGTGGTTATTTGTAGGGCTCTGGTTCATCATAAGATTGCTATTCAACACTTTTGTTGATATCTTAATGTTTGCTCTTACAATATTTTTCTTGAGGGATACGGAGACTCCTCTCTTGGCCAAACCCGGTAGTGAACTTACACCTAAGAGGTTCATCCACCGGATTATCAGCTTTGACGATGTTAAGCTGGTGAAAAATGCAATGAAAATGGTAAATTTTTTTTATTTCCTAATTTAAAGAATTTCTTGATCATGTATAATCGCTGACATTTTTAGCTTTTAATTAATCTATTTTTGTTAGACGGTAAACGATGTTCTCCTTGGAGTAACCCAAGCCGGGCTTTCACGGTATCTTAGTCGAAGATATGGTAAAGTTGTTTTTACACCACTGTGTTATACTATACATATTAATTTAGAGCTCATACTCATCTAAAGATACTCTTGTCATATGTTTTGAAATAGATCAAGAAGCAACACCAAAATCAAAAGAGTCGATGAGGAAAATCCGACTTCGTTCAGCCATTATGATTAACTTGAGACCAAACACAGGAATTGAGGTACACAAATATTTACTCTTGGAATCTTTGAAACCAAATAATTTCAAACGGATTGTGTGGTTTTTCATTATTGTTCAATTATTCAATATAGGCTCTAGCGGATATGATGGCCAAGAAATCTAAATGCAGATGGGGAAATCTCTTCGGCTACATTCTCCTACCGTTCTCCGTTGGGCTAGAGGCCGATCCTCTAGAATACGTGCGCCAAGCTAAAGCCACGATCGACCGCAAGAAAAACTCTCTTGAAGCCGTATTCTCCATGGCATTCTTTAAATTGATATTAAAAGTTCTTGGGCTCAAGGTGAAATCTAAATCCGATTTTCTACAGAGTTAATCATGCATAGGTCTTGTTATATATATATATATACATGAACATTGTCTCATGGAGAAAACAAAAATACAGGCAAGTGTAGTTCTTGTAAGGAAAGTGATCCATAGCACAACGTTGACATTTTCAAATGTGGTCGGTCCAAAGGAAGAAATTACATTCCATGGTCACCCGCTGAATTATATCTCCCCTTGTGTTTTTGGCCACCCACATGTAAGTAATATATATAGAAAATTCATCATATAGAATCTTCTGATTATCTTGTTTTTAATTGTGTTTTGTGTATGTGTGTGAAGGCTCTTACTCTACATTTCCAGAGCTATGCGAACAAGGTCATAATATCGGTAACGGCTGATCCAACGGTCATTCCTGACCCTCACAAGATGTGTGATGATTTGGTGGAGTCTCTGAAGATAATTAAATCCGCTGTCCTAGAAAGAGGGTTATATGAGATCGACGTCTAGTTAAAGCTCTTTTGTTGTCACAATGTGGAATCGTCCGTTTCTTCTATTGACTACGGTTCCTCCATGATTATTTTAATGTATACCTTAGGAAGTTATTATAATAACTAGACGTATTGATAAAGAGTAAGACATCAAGTTTATATTAAGAAGGTTGTTGACTTTAATTTGTACGGTACTTAAGATGATATTTTTAGGGAAAACGGTGTATTTCCCCACGATAAATATCACATCATACCAGATAGAGCTCAATCTATGATCACGTGCTAGATGTCCCCGAAAAAATATTTATCAACTTATATCTCCGTAAACTCATTGTTCGAATCCTATTTCTCTAGAAATATGGGTTTAATCGGTTCACAAATTAAATCCGATAGAAAACCACATAAACCAATATAACCAAATTAAAAATCCGATCCAATGTAAAACCCTACCCGATTTCTTCTTCTTCTTCACCCAATCCATGAAACTCATTAAGAACATGCCACATAGACCAAGAAACAAAAATTATGAATTTAAATTCAAGTAAAATCTGATACAATTTTCAATTGAATGCTAACAACTGCTCGTATACATTTTGCGGAACACTTTCTGAACAAGAAGCAAGAAAATGGTGAATTGGATATGAGAAAACGTCAAAATCAAAGAAAGCCTTGATGGAGAATTCGAACTATGTCTACACTCATCACCCACGCAAGCTCCAGTCTGATTCCAGCTCACTATCACATTCTTCTTCTCGTCAAATCTCACCACGAATTTCGATCCATGGCCACAAATAGCTCATCCGCCAGTAATTTCACCGAGAAGAACTGCGTTCTGCGTCACATAGAGAACAACGCCAGATCGAGAAGGATGGTGGTGGTAGTTGTTACGGAGAACAGTACGACGTGATTTGGGCAAATAACGGTGGTTTGATCTCTTTCAACAACTGAAACAAAGCTTCTCAAATTGTTGTCGGTAGCAAAAACGTTTGGTTGAACTGCAAAATGATTCATCTTCATCAAAAGAAAATTAAGGAAATTTTTGTTAACATGTTCACATGAAATTTGAATTTTTTATAACATGTTGAACAATGATGAAACAATGTAATCAAAATTTAGAAAATAGATCCATCAATTTTGTAGAGAAATGGTGAACACGAAGCAAAAATTTCAGATCTAAAGGATTTAAATACATTAAAAAAAAAAAAAAACTGGAAATAGGATATGCCGATCTAAGAAAATCCATGGAAGTGGAGAAAAATAGGTTAGGTTTCATAAGTACAGCTTTTGAAGGAAGGTTAAGCTATGGCGAAGAGAGCGAGTGAAGCTAGAAGATGAACATAGACAGATTCCGGGAGAGAAAGAAGAAGAATTGGTATGTTACGGGTGAAGAAGGATGTTGGGTTGGGTGGGTTTGCTTGGGTCGGGTTCAATTAGTTGTAATTGGGTCAGAATTGGTTTAGATTAGGTTTAATCCGGTTTAGTATTTTCGTTAGTTTGGTAAGCAGACAGTAAACCAATGTTTGTGTGTAAATAAGATGAAAACTTTTATTTTAGGGAGAAATAGGATTCAACCTATGAATTTATGGGGATATAAGTTGAAAAGTATTTTTTGGGAGACATCTAGCACGTGGTCATAGATTGGGCTCTATCTGGTATGATGTGATACTTCTCGTGGAGAAATATACCGTTTTTCCGATATTTTAAGTTACTTGGTGGGCAATCACTTTAATAGATACTAATTCACATTCGAACCGATGTGGGATATTCTAATATGAATTCAAGAGTTAAGGGTTGTCACATCTTTTAAATATTACTCAAAGATCTTTATCCCAATCGATGTGGGACATTCTAATAGAACCAGCCCCGGCTTAGAGGGGTGGGCGGAGGTGTGAAAGCCTGGGTTTTTTTTTAAAAAAAAAAATTAAATGTAAAAAAAGCCCAAATATTTTTTAAAAATATTATTAGTATAAAAATTATATTTTAAAAGACCTAATTCTTTATAAGAAAATGTATAAAAAGGACCAAAATTTTAAAATAATAATTTTTACTATAAAAAATCCGTAAATTTTTTAAAAAATTAAGTAAATTTTCTCTTTATATATAATAATAGGTCAAAAAAAATTTTTTTGCCTTAAGGCTCCCAAATATATTGGGCCGGGGTTGAATAGAACGTAAATAAAGTTTTTGGGAAGAGGAGGAAATGAAAATAAGAAAGCTTTTGTTACATACACCCATATTTTTCGGTGTTCACACATAGTTACAATCGCATAATATAAACTTTTACACAAATTATTTCACACTTAAGACAATCACCCATACACATACCAATTTTTTACAGAGATTAGTAGCTTCAACTATGCACTCCAACAAACCGGTCACTTTTACTAGACAGAGTGTCTTTCAAAGACTTCTCCATTTCATCGCAAATATTGTGAGGATCTGGTATGACCGCAGGATCGACCGCTATCGTAATTACCATTTTCTTCGCGTAACTTATGAAATGTATCATCAGGGCCTACCAAATACATTATATATATATATATATATATATATATATATATATCAATATAAGAAGAACATAAAGAGCTCTTCACATGTAGTATTATAAAATTATAAATTCGTTTATTGTGAAACACACGTACTTGCGAGTGTCCATAGCCACTTAGAGCGATGTAAGTGATACAATTTCCGTGTAAACTAACTTCTTCCACAGGGCCAACGATGTTTGATAAGATTGTTGTTGTATTCGAACATGTTCGTTTGAATACCTACAATGACATGAGTGTCATATAATGTCCCCACATTAAAACGCAAACAAACATTGGGTTCCATTATCACAATCTATACCTTAGGTCCGAAAGTATTGATGATAAACTCGAGGACTGAATAATGCATAGCGGCGCAATGAGAATGCTTCTTTCGATCCATTATTGATTTAGCTTTTAATAGAGGAACCAATGGATCGATTTCTAAACTGATGGAGAGCGGAACAAAAACTAAGGAGTCATAATTTCCCCATCTACATTTCGAACCCTTGGCCAACATATCCTCCACAGGCTTCATACAATTGTTTGATCAAGTGAGAGTTAAATTCTCAACAATTAAGGTTAAATATTAGGTGTAGATATCTAACCTGGATTCCAATATCCTGCCTTAGATTAACCGCAACACCTGCTCGAATTCGTATTTCACCTGGAAGATTGTTTAGATCCGATGTCGTTGTTCCATCCTCACCATCTTTGTCGCCTTGTTTGTCAAGAAACAGTACACACATGGAAAATATTAGAAACTAGTTCCAATTCATTGCATATATATATATTGCATTTCAATATTTACCATATCGCTGGTTCAAATAGCGGGAGAGAGCGGCTTGTGTAACTCCGAGTAGAACATCATTGATAGTCTAGCCACACCCACATACACACAAATTGACAAATGTTTTAGTATGAATTTTCTTTACAACCGAACAAAAATAGTAACTCACCATGTTCATAGCGTTCTTTATAAGCTTAATATCATCCAATGAGATAGTTCGGTGATAAAATCTTCTTGCATTATTCCCGACACTGGCACCCTCGTTAAGAGGCGTCTCTGTATCCTTCAGAAACATTATAGTCGCCAAGAGCAATAGAAGATCTACAATGGTATTCCAAATCAATCTAACCGCAAAGTAAATTGCGAATATCCATCTTAAAAGCCATCCTTTGTTTCCAAGACGTTGTGACATAATTTGTTCACGCCGTTTTATGGCAGGAATGGTAGGAAATGCCTCAAGATCTGATGTTTTTCGGGTAAACGCCACCGAGAGAGACATCAAGGACATTCCATCTGCCAAAGAATGATGACATCTCATTACACCAACCGCTTCTGCATCAGATGTTTTGACATTGAGGATGTGAATATCCCACAATGGTTTTGATTTATCGAGAGGAATAAGCGTTAGACGAGAGACATAGTCATCCACGAAACTATCTCCATCTTTGTTGATCTCTTGTGGGTCTATGTCTGGTGCAAATACATGGTCTTCTACATTGACTTTTATTTTCATCCATCTTGCACCATCATCTGACTTCAAATTTTTACACAATGGAGACCAAACACAATGTTAAATCGTAAGTAAAACTAGGTACAATTGGTGTATATATAGTGGTAATTACCAGTTTACTACAGAAACGAGGATGCTTGGAAACGTTTTGCTTCAATTCATCTAGAATGATGTCACGATTAATCTTGGCCTTGAAACCGATCATCGTGACAATGCAATTGTCTATCCCCGGCGATTGGAATAGCCGAGCCATCGGGCTGAGAGGCTCCTCCTCTACTTTCTCCTTCGTCATTTTCTCTTTAATTTTCTTTTACGTATCAGATTTGTCTTGCATGTTCTATAGTTTGTATCATATCGTAAACTTATAGTGAAAGTTTTTTTTTTTTTTTTACTTACTTATAGTGAAAGTTGTAGCGATATAGACATTAATAATGAAATATTTTAGCATCTAGCTTCGATCAAAATGCGTACGTTAAGGCAGTAATAGGTAGAGTACATAACTTCTCTTATTAGTATTATTATCTCACAGAAGTATCTATTAATTTCATTTAACAGGTGAGTCCCATGTGAGACAGCTTCAAGATTATGTGTATACATAGATTAACGTACGTAGTACATATAGATTAAAAAGTTTATCTTATTTATTTTCTCACAATTTAATAGGTGTGTTATACGGCTAACTCTTCCAAGCAACAAAACATGCCCGCATGAAGAATTTAAGAGCTAATTCTAGCCCAAAAGCCCAAACCTCTAACCTAATCTTGATCCACTAATAGAATTGCAATTTGTTGAAAATTTGATAAATCCTTAAAAAAAAAAGAAGGGTTGTTGGTATCAATTAATTAGAGATGAAGATATCTTAGATCAAAAAACACTGTGATTAATTCCTAGATTTAAATCAAACTAATAATAATTGCATATGTATAACGTTCTTTGGTCTAGTTAGTTATCTCTAATCAATATACCTTTTGACTTTAATCTCTATTCTCCAATGGTTGAATCTAAATTATTCAGTGAGATTTTAACGCATTACCAACAACCAATCTTATGAATGTTGCTGTCAAATTCATTAAACGGTATGAGCATTATTAAGTGTAAATGATGTCATGCAAGTGACTGAATCTTTTAATGATAATTAAGATAGTGGTTTATTTTTCGTAATTCGTTATAAAAAAAAAAAAAATCTCTTCTAAAGGAATGGAAATTACGAATAAGCTAACGTGAGATCTGTTTGTCATCAATCTTGTGATAATTGAGAAAAGTCTACAAATGATAACCTGATTGGTAACCCATAACGTCTAAAAAGCAATATTCAGTTTTATCTATATACTGCCAATAATGGATATCAGAGCATGCAAGTCCATGTATATTGAGTGACACATGGACATGTGTCCAGCCCCGGCTCAATATATTTGAGAGCTTTAAGGTAAAAAAATTTTTTTTGGTCTATTATTATATATAAAAGAAAATTTACTTAATTTTAAAAAATTTTGCGGATTTTTTATAGTAAAAGTTTTTATTTTAGAATTTTTGGACCTTTTTATACATTTTCTTATAAATAATTAGACCTCTTGAAATATAATTCTCATATTAATAATATTTTTTAAAAATATTTGAGCCTTTTTTATATGTAAATTTTTTTTTTTAAAAAAAAGCTCCGGGCCGTCGCACCTCCGCCCTACCCCTCTGAGCCGGGGCTGCATGTGTCTTTGTACAAAATTTATTAAAGAATTGATTTGTGGTTCTTACGTAATTAATTCTTTCTTTGCAATGCTTAATTTATGTTTCTAACGTTAAAAAAAATTCATCAACGATTCAACATGTTATCAACGGTGTGATGATTTCGAGTGTTTCTTTAAAATACTAATGTCAAACTAAAACAGTAAATTCATCATTTCAGAAGGTTTTTCTTACTAGAAAAATGGGAAATCGGCCATCACTAGATAATTAAAACATTTGCAAAAATATTTTGTAGTGTCCATGTATGTATGTAACATTGTAACTAACATGAAAATATTTTGCATACGGATTTCCAAAGATTTATATGGTAACAATATACCTTAATAAATTAGACGGTAATGTGTGATAAACAAATGCGTCGATGAACCACATAAGACCTTTTTGTTAAAGTAATTGCAACAACAAGAATCATTCATTAGCTAGAATGTGTGAGTGGTCTCATGAAATAGAACTTTGGTGAAAAAGACAAAGCACAAAATGCTAAGATAAGAAAAAGAAAAAAGAGGTTAAGGGACAGAAGAAGACTTATGGTAGAGGACAGCTCACTCTCTTATTGACATTGACTTCGTACCCAACCTTTAATTTTGTTATCATTAGGCTATATAGCTAAATAGCTACACATCGTATACAGAATTATCATATCAACATCTAGTTCACCGCGTGACTTTTTTTTTTTTGTTGTTTTGGCAAAAACATTGACTTAAAGTCTTAAACATAAAACATACCATAACAAAAAGGGTATTTTTAGTGTTCTTCTGCCAAATTACTTTAAACAATAATCAATATGTAATTCTGATAACTATATCCACATGAAAGTGAAAATAGGTGGCATAAACACCGTCTAAGGATCTTTGAATCAAGGCCAAACTTGTTGTGTCTGTGTGGCTCACGTTCAATTTTTGCGTGTTTTCGTTCTTTCTTATTCACATCAAAACGTAAAACAAATCATACACTGATGTATGCATAAAAAAAGATTAATGAATATATAGGATATACATAGTAGAAACTAAGGCACATTAGATTCACAAACAATCTATTTCGTAGCAACCTGGAATATATAACAAGACTTTACAAGGTTAACTGTACTAGATTTCATTCCTTAACCGGAGCATTGAACGAGATTTTTGGAAATGATTGAACTACAACAAAGATAGAAAAAAAAAAAAAAAAACGAACAGAATTCGTAACATTTTCTTCACCTTTGCATATATTAATGGACTATGTACGTTTTTTGTGTGTGTAATATTGGTAGAGAAGTCTATCTCAATGACTATTCTATTTTAATTCTATGGGGCTCCAGCTGGTGGACGATGTAGATTTGTCCCATCAAGGCTTTTCGAAAATATGAGCGACCTTGACTCTTCCTATACTCATTGCAATTTGTACGTATACGCTTGTAAGTATTTAGCAATTTTTTGATTCTAAGCCCATATTGATCGGACGGTACTCGAACCCCATGCAACGTCCGTGAATTGGATTAATGTTCGAATTGGTGTTTAATCCGTAGTAGGTTTGCGGGAAATTGTTGTCACTTGACTCATATGTTATTTTGGTATAGAGGAACATCCTATTGAAGTTAAACTTGATTTTGGTTTAAGCTTAATTATGGGTTTATAATTCAATATTCTATATTGGATAAAACCCAAAGTTAAGCCTAAGTTCTAGATTTCTCTAGAGCATCATAGAAAAATCATCACCTCCTTAAATGTTCTAGAGAATTTTATTAGATAGATATTTAGATAATTATGTAGAATAATCTAGAAGTTTGTAAGATAAAATCTAGATATTTTAGTAGAGTTATAGAGATGATGGTAGAATAATCTAGAGACTTTGTAAGCTAACCTTGGAGGCTATAAATACCTCCTCACCCCCATCATTTGTAATTTTGTGAGGAAGCTGAACAAGTGAATAAAAAGAAAGTTCAAATAAAAGAACACTCTTTAAAAGTTCTCTAAGTCTCTCCAAAAGTCTTTCAAGTAGTCTCTAATTGTTCTTCCAAATTTTCTATCATACTTAGAGGGTTTCATATCTTGATTATATCGAGTTTCTCGGGTATTACGGTCTTGGGCTAGTGCTAAGCACTATCGAGTCGGTTTCTTTATATGGTATCAGAGCCATTCTAATCTTGTGCTCTTCAAGATCGGGATTATAGGAGAACTCGGATCTACTCTAAGTATGGAATCTATGGGTCGTGTTGTTGGATTGGGAATGGAGATCTTAAACCAATCTAACTACCGGTTATGGAAGTCATGTATGGAGTCATACTTGGTTAGTGAGGACTTATGGGATGTCGTCGGCGGAAGTAATACTTCACCACCTACCGGAGATGCTGCAACCGCGGAAGCGACAAAGGAGTGGACACGTAAAAATGCCAAAGCGGAATTTACTTTAAAGAGGTCAATATCCTCAGGAGTATTTGAGCATGTCTCAAGGTGCACATCCGCTAGTTCAATTTGGCAAGCGTTAGATCGACTGTTCAACAAGAAAAACGAAGCTCGTCTACAATTGTTAGAAAACGAGTTGGCGAATGCGAAGCAGGGGGAGTCTTCAATCTCGGAGTTTTTCATCAAGGTAAAGAACCTTTGCTCTAAGATCAATAGTCTTAATCCGGAGGAATCAATCTCGGATGCTCGGTTGAAGCGGTTTATTATTCGAGGTCTACGACCCGAGTATACACCGTTTGTGACTTCGGTTCAAGGATGGGCTACACAACCTTCCTTGGAGGAGTTTGAAAATTTGCTTGCTTCGCAAGAATCACTAGCGGTACAAATGGCGGGAGTCAAAATTCATGATGACTCGGGAAGCGCTTTTGTAGCTAGGAGGCAACAAAACTTTAAAGTCAAATCCAATGATGGTGGTCCAAGAAATAATGATGGACATGAAGGATCTTCTAAGGGAGATAAGAAAAAATTCAAGTGCTATCGGTGTGGAAAACTAGGGCATTTTAAAAAAGATTGCCGAGTCAAGCTGAAGGAAACAAACATGGCAGAAACAAAAGGTCATAATGAAGACGAAGAATGGGGAAAATGTTTTACGATGGAGGCTGCATCTTCAAGTACATCTACACCTAAGAAGGTGGAAAATAATTGGATCGTAGATTCTGGTTGTAGCCATCATATTACCGGAGACGAGAAATTATTTTCTAGTCTTCAACGCCATGAAGGAAAAGAAGCAATCATTACCGCGGATAATTCAATCCATCACGTTGAGAAGGAAGGAACGGTGGTCATCAAAGGAGATGATGGAAGCCCAATCACTCTCGAGAACGTTTACCATGTTCCTGGAGTAAAAAAGAATCTTCTCTCCGTGGTAAATGCGGTGGACTCAGGTAACTATGTTTTATTTGGCCCAAGGGATGTTAAATTCTTAAAGAATATCCAAGAGTTAAAGGCAGACGTGGTTCACACTGGAGCACGGGTTAAAGATTTATACGTTTTATCGGCGTCAAACTCTTATGTGGAGAAGATGAGTACCAACGATAATGTTTTTATATGGCATGCTAGGCTTGGTCACATAAATATGACTAAACTCAAGGTTATGGTGAATAAAGATTTGGTGAACGGGCTCCCAAAGTTGAAGATCCAAGATGAAGGCACAATTTGTGAAGGATGTCAATATGGAAAATCTCATAGGCTTCCATTTGACTATTCCATTTCAAGGTGCAGTTTTCCGTTGGAGAGGGACCACAGTGACTTGATGGGTCCGACAAGAACACCCTCATATTTCGGATATCACTACATGTTGTTGTTCGTTGACGACTTCTCTCTGTACACTTGGGTATACTTTGTGAAGGAAAAATCTGAAGTATTCTCCAAGTTTCTAGAATTCAAGGTTACCGTGGAAGGGGAGTTAGGTCAGAAGATCAAGACCTTAAGGACGGATAATGGAGGGGAGTTCATGTCTAAGGAGTTTCTCTCTTTTTGTAGAGATAATGGTATCAAGAGAGAATTTACATGTCCGCATACACCTCAACAAAATGGAGTAGCAGAGAGGAAGATCAGACATCTAAGTGAGACGTGTAGAAGTTGGCTCCATGGTAAAGATTTGCC